TTGTAAAGAAAAAAAGTGTATACTATACTATGTGTAGCAGAAGAGTAGACAAGCTTTGAGACATTTAGTACTTCGTCATAGTAGCTGCAACAGTCTTTCGATTTCATTACCATCGATACAAAAGAGGACAGCTTAGAAATAATTTTGTACTGTGATATGAACATTGACCATTTTACATACCCTCCAGTGAATTCTAAACAGTATAGAGCTGGCATTATTGTTTTGTAAAGGAATACTATAAAAACTTAATGTAATCTAAAAAAAATCTTTTTTAGGTTGTTGGGTTTATAAATGTTAAAGTGTGTATGTTGGGCGAGAACCTTTGCTAGTGTTATGAAAGTGAAGTGTTTTTTTTTTTTTCTTTTTATTTAGCTTAGTTTTAGTAGATTTTTGATGTGGAATTTCGTGCTGTACCAATGGTGTGAAGAGTTTTGAAAAACTGACCTTTTGTCATAATTCTGTCATAATTTACTCATGTCCTAAGATAACTATGGCTGCATTTACACTGCAGGTCTTGATGCCCAAATCATTTTTTGACGACACACTTACAGTACATCATCCCGCTGCTCATAGGTTAAATATATAGTATGTTTTGTCAAAAATAAACTAATCAACTGTTATACAATGAAAGCTAATGCAAGCAAAATAATGAATCCTTAACTTTGAAATATGTATGATCAAATGTATTGGCCTACTTTAAAAATAATACTTTATATGGAAAAAGTATTTTCTTTTCAAGATGTTTCCAACTCCAACTTTGAACCAATTCTACACAATTGCCCATATAACCTATTTGACCAGGATTTGTTTCCGGTAACATTTTTTGGACTTTTATATATATATATATATATATATATATACACAGTATGAGTGAGGCCTGAATCCGATCTGAGAAAATCGGAATCCATGTGCTTTTTTCCTGTTACACGTTCACTGGTCATATCCAGTCAAAATACAAAAGAAGTCAATGTGGAGCAGTGTTGGTTTTGGCCCCATTGACTTTTGCTGTATTCTATGGACAAAAACTGAAATTCAGATTTTTTTTTTTTTTTAAAGAAAGTCAGTCATACAGGTTTAAAAGGACATGAGTAAATTATGACAGCATTTTCATGTAATTCCAGACCTGTTTGCTGGAAATTTGCTCACAACCGTTTGGAATTCCACTGAATTGACATTTGATACATTCTGTCCTGAACTGGTGCCACTTGAACGCATCAGCCAAGGGATCTGGGTAGTCTTATTGGAGCGACTCTGAGTGCAGGACAAGCCAACCATTGAGGAGCAGATTAGATTAAGAATAATCCTTTCGCTGCGCGCTGATCCCCGTCCCTGCAAAGTCCACTCACAGTGCATCAGTTACACCACTCTGCCCAGCAACGCGCCAAGGGCCCCAGTCCACCCAGATCTCTTCAGCCATTCAGATGTTCTTTTTGCTGTCCACAGAGGTCATGACACAATCACTGTCATTTTGCAGATTTGGCGTTTAGCAGAATAGATGGACAGAAAGAACAGTACATTCTGTCTGTTGGCCCCTTTGGATCCTGCGGTCCGTAAGCCGACGTCGAAAACTTCTTCTCTGCACTTTCGGCTCAGGACTTGATGGCAGATCTGACTCAAACAGTGACATAAAATGAAAGGAAATAAATGGGGAGAAAAAAAGAAGAAAGGGCAAACCATCCAAAGTTCTGCATCACTTACTTTTCAATTACGGCAGGCGAAGCAGAACGAATTGTTAGTGCCATTTATTGACTGTGCCTCTCTCGTTATTAAAGTACAAGTGAAGAAATCTGTCCTTTTGTATAACAACCTGCCTGTTTTACAATAACAAAATGTTTCTTCTCTGTCAGACAGCCTTTGTCATTTGAAGAGAAACAAGGAAAAGAGAATGGCAGGGATAGCAAAACAGCATGCTGGCAGAAACACTGATACAGAATCCGAATCGGCAGTGATCCTGAAGAAAACCCCTTCCCTCGCAGCATTCAGCTGAGACTATTGGTGCAGAACAAAAGTAATAGGTGAATGAATCGATTATGGTAATGATTGGCTGCCTGAAAGATTTTTCTTATGCCGTATAACAGGGATATGAGAGATATTGAAAACACATTAACGGAGAAGCAGCTGTGGATACCTATGGCGATGGAAATCCACAGTGTGCTAGCATGGGCCTTTTTCATCCTCGACTTGTGATCCTTACACTCAAGTTGATGTTCCACATAATAGACCACATACAAAACATTGTGATGAATCTGCAGTTCAATTCAAAAGAATGCAACAATGGCGCATTCATCCTACAGTCTTTCCATGTTGGGGCTGCTGGACTGAATCACATTTCTTAGAGTATAAGTGGAATGTTTTGAAATATGCTTTCAAAAGCAAGTGGCAGTTTAGAGTCTAATAATATCCGACAACAATTTCTCCAAAAGATAGAGAGAGATTTTTATAGCTATTGCTATAAGCCAGGGGTGCCCAATCCTGTTCCTGGAGATCTAGGAGTTCCAGCTCAACAGACCTACCTGTAATTATCAAGTGCTCCTGAAGATCTGGATTAGCTGGTTCAGGTGTGTTTGATCAGGTTTAGAGCTGAACTTTGCAGGAAGTAGATCTCCAGGAACCGGATTGTGTGCCCCTCCTATAAGCGGTATTTAAAGGCATGATTCTAATTAATACTACATATGTATCTGGACCTTTTACTGACAAAGAATATATTTGCAAACCCATTTAGAATAATTCTAGAAGTCTCTTTATGCAGTTTGATCCAAACCTGGTCAGAACTGACCCAGCTGCAAAGCATGTTGGGTAACTGGAAGCACTAAACTTTGGCCCTGTTTACACCTGGTATGAAGAAGTGTTTTGGTCGATCGGATCATGGTTGACACTAAATACAGGTATAAACAGGGTCTAAAATGTTTTGATCTTTCAACCACTTCCAGGGGTAGTCGAAAATGCATTCGAGCAGATTGCTTTCATAGTGTAAACGCTCATGTGGTCGAATGCATTCAAACAGCCACAAAAGACCACCTACTCTCAGATTTAATGCGGAAACATTATGGGAAGAGTGCTAGCCAGACTGGAATTGAACTTTGTTTTTGTGTTTTTGTTCTGTTCATATGTCAAGTCAAGTATATTTATATAGCGCTTTTCATAATATAGATTGCATCAAAGCAGCTTCACAGTATCGATCAAAACATAATAGGAATGTTCGTTTCTTAGTGGAAAAACATCCACGTTTGGTAGAGCTGATCAAGGGTATTACTGATTGGTTAATTAATTTGAATATCCCCAACTGAGCAAGCCAAAGGCAACAGTGGCAAGGAACCGAAAAACGCCATCAAGTGACTTAATGGTGTCCTAAAACTCCATCAGGTGACCCAATGGTGAAAAAAAAAAAAACCTTGTGAGAACCCAGGCTCAGTCGGGGGCCAGTTCTCCTCTGGCGTTTATGAACTAGAGGCCGGATTTACAGTAACTGTAAGGTAAAAAATGTATATGAATATGTCTAATGTCTCTAAACAGACTTTAAACGCGGACCTGTGATAAACTCTCATGGCGTTTACATGCGCATTAAGAATTAATTCTATAGTATATGTGTGCAGATTTGTAATTCCCTCATGCCTGAACAAACTACTTGTCTATAAATTTGATACTGAATTTAGTTTTATTTTATCACTTCAGGGTTGGGACGCGAAACAAATTCACAACGCTTTATCTGTAGAGTGGGAAAGGGATCCTCCATAGGGAGAGGATAATTGGCACTTCATCACTGCATTGTCATCGTCATCGAGTCCAGTATAAGATCCTCATCAGATCTGGATACGGCCTGGATCTGGCAGGCTGCGGGAAACCTTAGGGATAAACAAAGACACTCAAATTAGCATAGATGCCAGTCCAGAAATTAACTTAACTAATTAGAAATTATTAATATCTAAATTGCGTGAGCTTATTTTGTCCAATAGATCCAAAGATTTGAAAAAGCCCATACATTTACCCGTCCATTGACCCTCCTCTTGAAGAAATCAGGAAAGAAGTGGTCAAAAGTGGACAAAAGAGACAGATTAAAACACCAGGTGTAAACAGGAATGCGTCTCCCTCATCTACTTGTGATCCGATCGACCAAAACGCATCTTATTACGAGGTGTAAACAGAGCCTTTGATAAATGACAAATTCATGAATTTGTCTGGAAAGTGACTCTAAATGAAAAAAACAACAACTTCAAACTGCAAACTTGTTTGCCAGCAGCCATAAATACATTATTTAACATGCTTTTACAACAAATGAGCGCTCTCATACATTTGTATTGTAAAAGGCATCATATTTTATGAAACATTTACTTGTTTTATAATATAAAATCACTGTAATGATTATTATTAATAGTTATAAAAACAACTTGTTTATAACAATCTATTATTGGTAATAATATATGTATTTTTCATGTATTTTCTTTTTCTTTTTTAAATAATTAAGAGTAAACGACACTTTGAACCCCCTAAATAAACCTCTCATGACATCTGTTTTGATTAGTACAGTCTGTAGCGACCAGGCTCTGCATTTCCTCAACTGCTGCGCACCAGCCAGACTAAAGCAGTCGATCGCAGAGGCCTCCCCACTGTTTCCCCCCTCTTTGTGTTTATATATGTTTTTTTTTTTTTATATTTTTTGAGGGAAACTGTCAAGCCCTATCCCAAAGAACAGGGACCAAAGATCAAAAATAATGTACGCTTTCGTGCGTTTCTTGGAGGACGACATGTGCTACGCGTTACCTGTGTCAGACGTGAAAGATTTCCAGCCTGTGCACAAAAGAGATTTTGATGATCAGAAGGTGTATGTGGTGCTGAGAGGCGCAGGCCATCCTGCCAAAGCACACATCCTCGCCCTGGCAGGTGAGTTCTGTTCTTCTCTATAATAATAATCTTCATCCATAACATTGACACGCATGACACAATGCTTGAAATGTCTTGCCACTTTGATTTGAATCATATTTGCATGTGCATACACCTCTTATCTGTCTAGCTTTATATTATATTTATGACGCATGATGAAAAGTTGTCATACAAATCATAATTTTAATTTCACGTGACTTGCATGAACATGTTTTAACACGCATGTATTGTGCTGTTGAGAGAACACTAATGCTGTAACATGAGTGTTTTGATGCGATTAATGGATATGGACGGAGAAGATGTCATAGGTTTGATGTCTTCTTGATGATTCTGGTGTTTTTAGCTCGTCGTGATTGTCGGATTTGTGTAATAGAGATATGTAATCGTGTCTGTGTTTGACAAGCACGACCATTTAAATATTAACTAAGGGAAAGGCGCGACGAAAATGTCTGAATAAGTTCATGAAATTAGAAACGAAAGATAAGAGGGTTTTAAAGGCAGAAATAGAGGCTCAGGATGCTAAGCGATTGTTAGCCTGCTGCTAACGCTTCCTTCATTTTTCTCCGGCGCATAAGAGCTTAACAGCTAATAAATCAATCATCATCACAACACTAACAATCTATCGGAACTTATAAGGATAAGGGAAAGCAGACTAGATAACCAGAAAGTTGTGTATTCAACGTTTTGTTGTGTTTGGCTCAAGCTGCTAGGTTTACTGTCATCACATTAGCTAGCCAGGTAAGGGTTATTTTATGTAGTTTTTTTTTTACTTTTACGCCCTTCCATTTGCTTGAAACCTTATGTCAGCATTTTATACTGTTAAATTCTAACTTGTCATCATATTATGTGGTGTTTAAATCAGTGCTGGTGGCAAATCTGTTATGTGACACTTCCTACTTGAGCTCAAGCAGACAGTGAAATCCTTCAGCCACTTTCACTCCTGCCACTCTTCAATCAGGACTAGTTAGATATATTACTAATCTACATGTGTGGCTTAACCTGCTCTTACAACCCTGATCTCGTTAGAGACAGAAGTCTGCCGCCCAGCACAGCTTTCAAATCAGTCTGCAATCTGTTGTGGCCGACCTTGAGGCTCATGTGCCAAACCTGGCCAATGTAAAACTTTTAATGTGTAGTTATTAACAATCGCGATCCCATGTTGATAATTTTCTACTTGGCATGATAAGGGGCAAGGCATGCACATTTATATGGTCCGTCTTCTCCAAGCGGCCTTGGTTTCTTGACACTGCATCACATGCTGACAACTGTGACGACCCCGCCTGTCAAAATCTTATTGATGCTGCAGTCACTGTCGCTTTGCAATGTTAAACGCTCCATTAATAGTTTATTGCAACAATAGCTAGTCATCTGTGTCATTACAAGGTTACTGGGAAACTTCTCCACCAAACTCATAAAATGTTTCTCTTGCTGATGTGTCCTTGTTTTAACCATATCATCATTTTAGATTACAGAGGTGAAATATTATTTGCACCTCCTCTTTTTCAGAAAGCATTGAGGAATTTGAGCACAGTATTATGCAAAAGAAGATGAAAATACCCAAGATGTCGAACAGGAACACAGTGGAGAATCACTTTGGCGAGGAGAGAATGCCCCTAAGACATAAAAAGGTTGGTCTACCCATTTTTAAGATTTGGAGATATAGGCAAGCTTTCTGTTACTGGTCTGGATTTGTAGATGGGAAACATGTGGACAGATTGGGAATGTTTTTTCTGGCGATTTTAAGAGTGTGATTTACAAAATAGGAAAAAAAAAGACATTTTTTGTGACATTTTTTGACACTTACGGAATTTGTCCTGACATTTTGAATGTTTCAAGCCAATTTTGTTTAATCTTGCAATTTTAGCAAGAGACCAGAAAGGCCATTTCTTTCATCAGTGGGCTTGCTGTGTTTTTTTTTAGTGTCCTGACTTTTTAATTGTGCTACCCATGAAGTTTACGACCCAGTTCTGTGTGCTCTTGCAGTTCATACCTTAATTACTTAGTTTGTGTTTCTATTACAATTACTAAACTTGGTGTTTAATATAAACTTGGTGTGTAGGTAATTTCACAGTTTAGCCACTGAGCCAGTGTTACAGTGCATTACATATTACATGAGATTATTTTTTAATTAGTGATGTTTTGGCCCATTGGTGATTGTTTTAGAATTAAAAAGTTGTCGTTTTTTTGTGTGTATTGATGCAGCTGCTCTTCCAGCCATGCTTTAAAAGAGAAGTCACGCTAGACACGCTGGTCTTCCATTCATACCCATGTGAATGCAAGAATATGAGTAGGATTTTGTGAACTGAAGGTTAACTTTGGTGAACTCTGTCCTGCACATTTGGATATTTGCAGCAGATTTAATCTAAACATCAAAGTTTGACCTCGGCACTCATACAAAAAAAATGCTAATTTCAAAAAATCAAAAATGAAAATAATCTATAGCAGACATCCCACCTTTCGAAAACTAATTTATGGGAGATGGCAACAACCACCCCCAACCTATATTATAAAAGAAAATATTATAGGCCGCTATTATATTTATTTGCGTAAGCTGCTTAACACGTGTTCATTCATTCATTCAGTAGTATCCATGCACTGAAAGTGAAAGTGATGTAGTTGAGTGTGGTGAAAGAAGAGCAGAGAGTTTCTACAAAATCTGAAATAGTCAAGTGTTGGTCACAGAAGAATAATTTGAGATGTGTGAGAATACCAGGTCAAATGCATGTTGGCTGACTACATGTGATCTGTTCACCGAAAATGCATCTTATACCAGGTGGGAACAATCCTCACTCCTAGACCTTGTGGGAGAGGTGGGACGTCTGATTTAGTAATAATATATAGGAAATAATAGAATAATGACCACCCGTTAAAAAGACTGTACTGTATTTTGTGAACCGGAAGATCCTTTTTAGGTGTTTAATGGGGTTGGAACTTAACTCTGGAGGAAGGTAGATATCCAAAAGCAAGAAAATGATTTGCATGCCATGTACACTATTTGCACTGGTCAAGATGCGCAATCTTGTGATGCAGGTCCAGTCACAGGAACAGCAGCGGCCCAGTTCCAACTCCTCAAAGAGCCTGGCTGCGGTGGTGGCGCGGCTGGAGAGGAACGCAGTCAACTCGTGCACGGAGGGAGAGGAGCTGGACAGACTCACCACAGAGGAAGAGGAAGAGCAGGACGAGGCCGTGGTGCCCCGTGTCCTGTACGAGGAGCTGGTGCACAGCTACCGGCAGCAGGAGGAAGAAATGAGACGTCTGCAGCAGGAACTGGAGCGCACACGCAGGCAGCTGCTGCAGCAGGCCAAAAAGCTGAAGGAGTACGGCAGTCTGCTGACCGAAGTCAAGGAGCTCCGGGATTTCAACCGACGCCTGCAGGACGTCCTGCTCATGAGGCTTGGCAGCGGTAAGATTTGCAACTAAACAACAATATGCATCAAAACTGTTCAACAGATCAAAATTTGACTGTTCTCTGAATCATAGAAATTGTGCATGTGTATATTGACAACTCAGACTGTGTTTGAAAAGGCCTTAGCATTGATTTTCTTATTTGGCTACAAACATGACTCATCCAATCAATTTAAAGTCTTAAAGGGATAGTTCACCCAAAAATGAAAATTATGTCATTAATGACTCACCCTCATGTCGCTCCAAGCCCGTAAGACCTCTGATAACAGAGCGCAGTCGTTAAATAACAAGTCTAGGCTGCTAGTGAGTCTGAAAATGTGTTTCGAGAATGCCCAAAATGTCCGGGATTTGGCTTTTGCGTCCTACAGTCGCCATTCTTTATGTTTACTGTGGCGAGCAGGACGAGTGAGGGCAGCAGGAGAATGGCGTGATTACCAATGAGCGACACCTGTGATACGCCCCGGTCTCGTATCTCTCACGGATGACCGGGGATTTTCTTAGCAATGTTAAAACGCACATCAACCGATCATTTGTTTAGCATTCATGTAAACACTACATTCAGATTCACCAATCAGAATCAATTCAGTTAGATTGTACAAAAACTGTACACTTAATCAGTGAATGGCAACTGCAGAAACCAAAAGCTAAATCACGGACATCGACGGTCAGACATGCCTGGGAAAAAGAGGATGGTAACCCCTACTAAGCTTTCTCCACAGAACAAGAGCCTGCTAGCTTAGCTTTCAGAAAAAAAGATGTCTGACACTGTGTACATTCTGTGAGTGAGATCCCACCCTCTATGGGCGTGTTGAAAACATGCGGGACATACTACTGACTGTAGTCCTTAGCCTCTGGCCAAAAAAATCTTCAGATGATGCAAAATGACTATTTTTGCGTAATCAGAGGATTTTTTTCCAGACAAAAAATACATAAATATTTTATCTCAGGGGGATATAAGGGTGGAAAGTATGGTCATTCGAAAATACTACAGGTTTTCTACTTATACAAAGCTTAATGCTAAATCCTGAAGTATGCCTTTAATGACACAATTGTCATTTTTTTGGGTGATCTAACCCTTTAAATGTCTGTTAAAGTGCTTGCTACACAACGTAATATTACCTTTTAAATTTATGTTTTTTTAAGACCTTTGTAGAGCTTTTTTTTCACTACTACAAAAGCAGCAATGGCTAGTCAGCTTTTAGGAGGCTTTAGTGAGTGCAGCATTTAGTTTCCAATTAAATTAAGAATGAATATCTTCAGACAGCAATTTAAAGGGATAGTTCAACCAAAAATTTACATTTTGTCATTACTTACCCTCAAGTGTTTCCAAACCTGTATGAGTTCCTTTCTTCTGTTGAACACAAGAAAATATATAAAAAAACCTATTGACTTCCATAGTAGGAAAAAATACTCTGGAAGTCAATGGGTGCCATCAACTGAACAACATGAGGATGAGTAAAGGATGACAACTTTTTCATTTTTGGGTGAACTATCCCTTTAAATATATTCTTGTATAATTTTAGGGCTGTCAGTCAATTAGAATATCCTTGATTAATGTGATAATTATTTAGCATATCAAGTACTTAATTATTATTCAGCATATCAGGTAATTAATTATGTCATGTAATTGTTATTAATTAATCAAATTAATCACACACATCAATATTTGCAGAGAAAACCCCCAAAAAGAAGATAATTCAGAAACTGGTGGATGAAAGCATTGAGTAGACATTACAAAAAAGTGACTTTATAAGTCATTATATTGTATTACTTGGTATTTTAATGTCATTAAACATTATGTCTATCAATGGTTTCTCCACAGCAATCCATTTTGCAATCCATGGGATGTTTAAAACAATTGTTTAATTATTTGTATATGGAAATGTGCTAGACTGTCTTTTTTCAGCATCTATTTATAATTAACTACTACTAAATTAGCATGTTAAATTGGCAGCCTTAATAATTTAACATTTTATGTGATGTTCCACATATATCTGAGCTGCAGGGACTGATTACTACTCAGATGAAGACTAAAGTACAGGCTGCTTAAAGAGGACATAGTGTCCAGAGCGGTCCGGCCAGTGTCCCAGCCAGCTGGGCTGTGTGTGTGTGTGATTGGTGGGGAAACAGACTGTGGTCTGGAGCAAGCTGGTGGAGCAGGCTGAAGATTAGACCGGCCAGGGCTCTTTAGGGTCAGACATGCAGAGCGCTGACTGCTATTAAAACTCAACAGATACATTAGAGCTTAGTGCGGCCAGCCACCAAGCCAGCTTACTGAGCTAAAATGACCCGGTTGTCTTGAGGCACAGGAGAGCCATGTTTTAGGCAGCGCTCCAAAAAGAGGTGCCAGGACTTACTGCAGCCACACTGGACTTAATTCAAAACTGTCATTAGAGAGCAGGAAGCGTCTGTCTTCAACACTTTCTCAGGATTACACTCATCTACACTCTCTGGTTAAATTGTGCTTTGCTTTGCTTCATACAGAACCGATGCATGACAATGGCACACAGACAATCAAAGCAGAGGTGGTAGAGCCGATCAGTGAACCACAGGAGACGTGTCAAGAGGAAGCCAACACTAGCTCCACCCACTCCCACTCCCCATCCCCGAGAACCGTCTACACCTTCAATGATGGAAAAGTATGTACTCCTGTGTGTTTTCTTTTGCAACTGCTTCTCAATCATACCAAAAATCCACGTCCATGCTCACTTTATCTGTTTATCAGCAAAGTAGCCCAGTAGTCACCACATATTACATTTATAACTTGACAAAATATTTTTATTTAAAATAATTTAAGAATTGTGTTAATTGTGATGAGATTTTCCAGTGCTATGGAAGTTGCCGTCATTGATATTTACTTTATGGGTGTAGGCGTTATGTCATGCTATCATGATAGAAAAGGGGACTTGACTTCAGCCATTACTTCATTCAGGCAGTAATCCAGCCACTCTTTTAAGCTGTTGTGTAAACGGGACAATTCAGTGATGCTCCTCGTGTTAGTGTGATTCAGTGTTTCTTTGAATGTTTTGCAGTGGTTCGGTTTGTCTAATTGACTAGCGAGATCCTTTCTAGAACCATTCCCCCGTCAGTCTCAAAGGGCCTTTTAACCAGAACGCGTGCTGTGATTTTGAGCCCTGTTAGCAGACATCGGGTCCGCATTTTGCGTTCCTCCGCCTGCCTTGCATGACAGGGGGGAATTTGTGCTACATGCTGAAAGGGTTCTCAGTTCAAGCGTGAAGAACAAAAGCAAATTAGGCCCCTTAAACATACGCACACATATCCGACATTAATTATTTGTACCATAGGAATTGCCCTGAGTGACAGGTAGCTGTAGGAAAGCAAATCTCCTCTAAGTTAAGAGCAGTGAAAAGCTTGTCTGCTCGACCAGGGCCAAAAGCACATTAGTTGCATTGGGGAAAAGCCGCTGGATTGGAGCCCGAAGACTGCTCAGGGTGACAAAGCAGAAGGCGCATTACCTCAGCTGTTACTCACCAGCTGCCCATCAATCCACCTGATGGCTTGTTGGGCCGTGTCCTCCACAGTGTGGCTTAAAAGTCAACACTCTGGTCTGGCATCTGTCAAAACACATTACTGCATTTAATGAACCCAGACACCTCGCCACTGAATTCATGTGTGACTCGTCTCTCATATGTGGTGATCGGTTCCTAGATCTCAGAGAAAGTATGTAGAGTCCCTTGGTGCAAGATTAAATGACTCAAACCACCTGGATCTTCACTTGTTTCTACCGTCTTGGAAAACTGGTCATTTTTCTAGTTATGCTTTGCTTTAAAATATTTCATCAGCCAATTATTTCTCTTGAATAGAGTAAAACAAAGCTTGCAAACATTTGGAAAGGTCATGGAAATTAATTGGTTTATTTATTTGGGAGGAGTTCCCCCTGGATTTTGTGTTCTGCAGTGAGGACCATCTTGATTTTTTTTGGCCAGAGGCTAAAGACTACAGTCAGTAGTAGTGGCTGTCCCACATGTTCTCAACCCGCCCATAGAGGGTGGGATCTCACTCACAGAATGTACAAAATACACGGATAATGTCCCGTGATTGTTTGATTTCGGTTCATTCACACTTCCAGTGATTTGCCAGGATCTGTGAGTGCGTTCACACACAACCCGTAAAAATCCCGGGAAGACGCATGACGTCAGGATGAGACGTTGACGTACGCGTCGAAATCATGTGCACGCGCATACCGTTCCACAAAGCTGGTGAACGATCTCTAAGCTTCAGCGCGGATAGTGAGGAGCTCCTGGTCTCTGCTTGTTCCAGTTTGCAGACATTTGTTCGTCCTTTCTTTGTTGATGACGAACACAATCTGTCTTCTAAGAGCAACAGAGTCGCGCGATGGCACGAGCGTCATCACTATGACACACCCCTTACGGCATTGGTCCTGGCTTTTGTTCACACAGCGCGCGTTTCGGGACTGATTCCGGCAATGTTACTAGTCTCCAACCCGGCATCAATCCCGGGTCGTGTTTGCGTTCACACAGAAGGCGTTCTGGCAATTTCCCGGGATCATCTCGCTGTGTGAAAGGGGCTATAGTGTCAGATCTTTTTCATAAGATGTAATCAATTTTTTATATAATCAATTTTTTGTTGATTTTACGTCCTAGCTTCTCAGCAAGGTTTGTGTAAACCTACGAGCAGAACTGTTCACTGGTACACAAACTACTGTTAACAAGCTTGAATTACACAGAATCTTGCGTGTCATCCTCCATAAACAGAGTTGTTTAATTTATTGTGAAAGAAAGGCTACCATGTCTCAGACACACTTTGGGGAATTGACCACATGGCACTTAAGTGGCAGAACAGAAAGCAAAATCTTGTCTGTGACAGTGTGTGTATGCTGCATATTTGAAGAAAAGCGTCTCTCTCTTGCAGGTGCACTTGGGTGGAGGGATTTGGGTGGAGGAGGAGAAGTGGCACCAGCTACAGCGGACACAGGGAGACTCGAAATTCACCAAAAACCTGGCGGTGATGATCTGGGGCACGGAAACCCTGAAGAACCGCAGCGTCACTGGCGTCGCTACGAAGAAAAAGAAAGATGCCTTGCCCAAACCACCACTCTCACCAAGCAAGCTCAAAATCGTCCGAGGTTAACACGCTACCTTTCATTAGAATTACTTTTTTATTATTATTAGTAAAATAAAATTAAAGATTAGGTTGGAATTAGACTTCTGGGTTTGCTGATGAAAATTTTACCATTCTGAGATTTGTTCATGCTGACCAAATGTTAGCTCTCAAGACCAATAACCAAGATTTTAATTTCACAGCTGAAACTAATATGGTATAGAACCTCATTTGAATATTTAAATGTTAATATTTTAATAAACATATGTAACAACATTGTTACATTATAAAAAAAAAATATATATATAAATATTATATATTTTTCAAGTGAATATTCAAGTAAACCATCATGAATAAGGAGTAAAGGAACATTTTTTTTCTGGTCTACTTTTTTGTTCCAGAGTGTCTGTACGACCGCGTGTCTCAAGAAACAGCCGACAGCGCAGAGATCACCCAGCGATTATCCAAAGTGAACAAATACATCTGCGAAAAGATTATGGATATCAACAAATCTATCAAGAACGAGGAACGGCGAGAGTCCAAGCTTCTCATCCAACAGACAGTGAAGATGGAGAACTTCCCCTATGACGGCCTGTAGGGGGCGCTAAAGTTGTCACCATAGCTCATTCTACTCCTCAAGGACTTCTGGTGGAGAAGGTGCACGTAATCACCGGCGCTGCCAATTGAGATTTCCACTGATGCCCCTCTCAGTCTTTTCCTCTCGCAGACCCTGTTTTACAACCTGTCTGACAGTTTTACCTCGCTCCACACTGCCTTAGCATTCCTGTGTGCATTCTGTGAGTGAATGGGGCGGGTTTTTGTAAGCTTTGAAGGGGATCTCGGGGTGGGTCAGATGTTACGCGTGATAGACAGGAGCGATCCTTTAAATCGTGTGCGAGTAAAATGTGTTTGGCACATCAGCTTGTGTTCTGTGTCAGAACATGTCCTAAAGTACTAAAGAGGTTTCCCTTGTCATAAATGCTGGCTTAGAGTCGGAGTCTTAAGGGGAGGTAGGTCACTTCAGTGGGACCATCTGCTAAAGGTACTTAACATAAAGAGTTGCACTTTTAAACAGGGTCACACCCTGCGTCGTCTTAATGAACGATTGATTTAATTAATCAATCTAGGCCTAATTGCTCCTGTTAATTGCTTTCCTGAGATGACTACTGATGGTCCGTTCTTGTTTTTGATGGTTGTTAGGGGTGAAGAGGTCCCATGTAGTTGGTGATTCTGGAAGACGGATTAACGGTGTTTCTTTGGAGTCCCATCCAGGTGAATAAATATTTGTTTAAAGTTCAATTTAGACTTGTTTTCGCTTTTAGGCGATAGTCCTGTTGGGAAATTCTTGCACGTTCGGAAGTCATAATTACGATGGCATGTTTTTAAAGGATTTATACTACGCTTCAAAAGTTTAGGGTCGGTAGTTTTTTTTTTATTTTATTACGTTTTTGAAAGAAGTCTCTTATGCTCACCAAGGTTGCAGTTATTTGATCAAAAATGCATGTGAAATTTTATTACAATTTTAAATAACTTTTCTATTTTAATATATCTTAACTTTAAATGTATTCCTGTGATGGAATAGAATGTTAAAAAGAACAGCATTTATTTGAAATATACATCTTTTGTAACATTGTAAATGTCTTTACTGTCACTTTTGATTCATTTAATGCATCCTTGTCGAATATAAGAATTAATTTCTTAAAGAAATCCGTCCTTAAACTTTTCAACAGCGGCGTATATTTTAACAAAATTCGCTGTTGTGTTAAGGGGCCCAAAATAGAAGAGAGTATTTTAATGTGATATGTTTAAGTATAGTTGAATTCTTATACCCTTCTAAGGTCTCTTGTTGTGTACAAAGTTCAGTAAAAATGGCGTAAAGTATAAAATAAGATTCTTGTAAACAACAAAAGCACATCCAAGTTGATTTCAGTGAACTTGATAGACTAGCCATCGGACAAGAGTTATTGTATTATCGGGTCTACAGAGATGGAGACCACCTAAGACCTTTTACCAGCTGTAAATTGCACTTGGGACGGAGGGTAAGTGGAAATCAGAGCTGGGCTGCAGGGCCTTCTTCCAGCTGGCAATCATTGGGAACTGTGTTCTCCGTTTTATAGCAAGCTGTGATTGTAATATGAGCTGATATTGCTTTAACTGCACTTTGGTGTGTGAGTGTGGAGAGATGCCAGGTGCCGTGTGCGGACGTGGGGTAAAACTGTCAGCAGTGCTCGGGCGGGGGGGTAGGGGGGTTACACATTAGCCTCATTCCTCTGGTCACGCCAACAGCAGAGTCTCTGCTCCAGCCCACCTGTAGAGGGCGCACTCATCAGGGGGAGAAATAAGATATCGTGACAACTTACAAGAGCCATGCCATCCACACTTTAGTCCTTTGTCTCTCCTTGTCGTCTTTATTTTCATCACGAACCGTTCATGTGGCTTGTCGGCGTAACAAAAGAAAGAAAAACGAGCCTTTTAGCAGATTTGGGTTCTTGACTGTGATGCCATATCGCTTACTGTGAATTAACCACAGATCTGCCACGCAAAAGCCTCCCCGTTTTAATTTTTTTTATAAATCGAGTACATTTATTAGGGGAGAGAAAATGTCGGTGTACATTTGGAATATATTCTCATGTTTTTGAACATGTTATTGTTTGCATCCAGGCTGCACCTTATCTCACTAAGCTTCTGGTTCAGAATCGAGTCAGACAATGTTGTAATTCTGTCTTTATCTTTGCTGGTTCATACTGTATGTAGTTTATAATCATTTCTACTTTTACAGTGTATATGTGATGTTTCGCTATTAATGTAGATGCTGGGTAATCACATTTCTAAAAGAATCCAGGGCTCTTCACGAATACATCATCTGTAATGACAGAAACCCATATCTTAAATTGATACGTGGACGTTTTTACCGCAGGTATCTCAATGCTTCAAGAACTTCAATTTACGAATTTCACCTCACTGTGAGTCATTTGTTACAGATCAGAGTCATTTCCGTCGAGAGGCAGTCGTTGCCCTCCTTTTCCGTTCTGAGGGAGTCATTGTCCATCTTCAACAACGTAGCACTTTAATCCTAAGGACAGGAAAAAAAGTATAAAAACTCATCAATGTTGGCTGATTTGTTGTGGTTTACGCAAGCCAATTTAAAAGTCAACATAAATATTTTACAAAGCTTGTGAAAAGATTCACAGGAAATCAGCTATCAGTTTTCTGCCACTCAATAGCAGTTTAGCAGTCGTTTGTTTCTCATTCTTTCGAGCCTATGAAAGCGATTCCTTTCTTTCTTACAGCGATGTACCTCCAATATGTCAAGGTAATTACGCGAGAGGACAGATTGTAATAAGGTTCTTTTGTTCCACTGAATGTCTTTCTCTTCTTTTTTTTTTTTTCTGTAGATATTCCCTGTATTGTGTGATATGTATTGCCACACTCTTTGAATATTTGATGTTCCCTAATGAGCGTATACGTACTGTGCAGGTATACTGGAAAATGACAGCTTTAGGTGCGTCGAGGTTGAATGAAAGCCAAACTATATCATCTGTCCATGTGATCATACTTTCTATGTGGAGATTTGCCTTGAAAAAGACTCCAGCGTTATGTATATCTCTCTTGCTTTGTTTTTGTCTCGCAGCTGCGCCGAGACCGAATTCGGGCACGGCGGGCCTTCAGATCCGAGAAAAATTAAAAATTTAAAGTTTCTTTAGTTGTGAGATCAAACCAGTGAATCCCATCAGGGAAAATCCGACTTTTAAATACAATCATGTACAGTATTTATAGGCTAAAAGGCTACAAAAGCGAAGCAGTAGCCTCGCGGAGACTGTCTTTTTTCTTATGGGAGACTGTGTTGAGGCTGGTGCCTATGCTTTTCAGTGGCTGTGTAATGGCGGTGCTTAGCTTTGAGCTGGTCTGTGCCTCTGGAAAATGACGAGTCCAGAGCAAAGCGCATGAGGGATCAACATATCATCTGAGTTGTCCTTGGCATATTGTGTTGGAGACGTTTTGTCATGGCATCTGAATGTGTGTTGGAGGTTTGTGTTGTTCTGTTGAAAATAAGCCAAAGTGGAATCTCAGCAACGGACAGTTCGTGATCAGTCTTATAAATATGAACTTGCACAAAAACATCCCCTGCTAAGTTTTTCCACAGTTTCCTAAGCTAAAGAAACAGGAAAGTAGGCGGAATTTCTTTTTTACTTTTTAAGGTGTTGCTGTGCTGTCGACAACTTCATTGTCTGATTTATGTTGTTTTCTGTTCCGTATCAAGAGCATTAAGCTTTAGATGGATATGGCTATATTGTTCAGATTGAAACGTGTTCAATCATTTATTTCTTCATTCCTTTATGATGCCAAAAAAAGAAAAAGAAAAACTAGATTTGAGGACATTCTTCGGGGAGAAAATAGTTGATTGCTCCTGCCTGCTTCACTAACCCACATGCTGAGATTGTCAATCAAATGCTGAGGACCCGCCCACATGCCACAGCAATTTCCGAAAACTGCCCAGTAATCCGCTATCGCAAGAACAGCAACTTTTTTCATGGTTACATTTACAATAAAGGTCCCTACTCAGAGTCATTCTTGTATAACAAACAATATTCTCAGCTCTACTAGTGAAAGAAATGTATTTTTGATAAAACACAAGTTCAGGTTATTCTTAGGCTGAAAACAAGCATGTAGAGTCACAGTCCTACCTCATTCCCGATCATCATCATCGTCTGTCTGTGTCCCAGGACAGTCTCGCTATCCTCATACCTCATTCAGAGATATAAATCAGTCTATATGGTGATGTTGTTTAACTCTCTGTCTCTGTGGCAGTAGAAAGCGTTTGGTTTTTCGTTTCCTTGCAGTAATTTCAGTTTTATCCCATTGATGGTGCTACAGCAGGCGTGGGTTGTCTACTCTGTGTTACTTACCTCAGATGGTGCTAATTTTTCTACTTTTCTGGAGGTCGTTCCGCTTTGCATGGATACAACTGGTTAATGTTACTTTTATAGCAGCAGGAATTTTGGGATAAAAACAAAGCATCGGATAAACTCTTAAGAATTGCATTCAGCACACATCGCAAAGATTTAGTTTTTAATTTTTGAAATAAGACATACCTCTCTAACTAATTACCTCACATACTCTGTTCCAATTTAACAGAATATTAAATAGCGTGCACGCAGGATCTATCCATGGCCATATAACCTTGACTTTATCGTACAATACGAACCTGATGCTGGAGTAAGAAACTTCTAAATCATACTGGGCAGTTGACTCTCACAGCAATGCGGTCCTCAGCAGTTAATGTGAAAGTCAATCCCACTGTAGAATTACAGTGCAACTAACATGGTAGTCTTACATTTGATGGTGGTGGTGGTGACATTGTGCAGTATGCTAACTGTAGAGGGTTTTCTTAATTTACCAAAGTGGGTCCCTCCCAAAGAAACTTTGTTGTTGTCATTGAGAACTGTTTGAAAACAAAGTGTGCATTTTAGTTCAGCAAAAAGCATCTTGAAAAATACGGGTGTGTCAAGCGACTGGCGCTCAGCAGAACGTAAATTAGTCCGTCCACACAAATCCATTCAGCCGCTTTTTTTCTGTGAAATGATATATGAATGCGGGCAGTTGATTCATTGAGTGTGTACTGTGCGAGCTGAAGGCAAATTGTGTGACTTTTGCTAGCGAACACTTTCCAGTCGAGACGTTTTTGATGATTCTGTGTCATGTGAAGCTCAACTGACCTCAAGACCAGACAATGAGTTCAGAAATTTATAGTATTGCATTTAAATCTGATTTTCATTTCACGTTGTGTGTCTTTTATCATGTCTTTGTCATCTCTTCATTCTTGCTGCTGAATAAATATCTAGAAACATATATATATATATGTGTATATATATGTATGAATCAATTTTTTTCTGGAAAGTCGTTGATTGGGAATGTTCGATGAAAAAACTGTGAACATGCTCTCTTTCAGGTCTGCGTTTGTGGGTGGTTGTGGGTATTTTTTTTGATATGGTCACGTACTGGTTAGTATTGGTTTTACCATGGAGTCAGTGGGATCTTCCTGCTCACAACAGTCCCTGTTCCCCATCCGTTAGGTCTGCTTTACTTGCACACAGATCAAGCCTAAGCCTGGACTAAAAAGACTCTCAGTGGAGAATTTTTATTCATACTGTGTTTTTAGGCCTAACCCGGCTTAATTTCTGCTAAACTCGGCCTCACTGCAGCTTGTGTCTGACTCCACGGGGACTCAAACGGTGAACAAGGGTAAAAAGGCAATGGAAAGCGAAATCAAATGTTCTATGTGAACCAGTTGCACTCTTTCCTGTGCGATGCTGGTTTCGCCGGTTAACATCAGTCGTGTGTGCGTGTGGGTTTATGCGCGTGTGTGCTGCGGTCTCTTGTTCAATGTACAGATCAACAGAATAAATTCAGACTTTTATTCTACAAACAAACCCTGTCAGTGTGAGCTGTTTTCTTTTTCACCAAAAATTCATTGGA